ACGATTAAATCCATTATCTGCTGGTTACACCGGAACCCCATACATATTGGCTTTTGCACCAAGAGGCTTGTTGTCGCCGATGGGCCCGATATTGGTGCCCCTGTTTCAGAAGTATGCGGTTATCTGAAAATAATGCATACCTTCCAGTCAATATAATTCAGGTCATTATGGCCATGGTGCAAAGTGTTTCGGTTTGCATGATCTACTTTTGGGTACTGCCTCTTTCTACTGTCTTTTTAAGTCTGTTTAAAATGTTTTATTTTCTGCTCCCCAAACCATAATTGACATAAGCTTAACTTGGGTGAGAAACCCTGCAGGAAATCCTTGCAGAGGAGAAACCCCCTTGGAAAAGAGGACTTCACATCTGGCCTGTTGCTCTGAACACCTGCCTTCTCTCCTGCAACGTCTTGCTGTGAATAACCCTTTTCCTGCTTCATCAAACCCCCTCAGTTCAGCTGCAGCGGGGGTCTTTTTTTGTGACTCATTCTGCCCACCTGTCCGTCCCTTCCTCAGCTGATGAGATGGAGCGTCTTAGGAAGAAGAAAGCTTGGCGAGTTTTCCTTAACTGACCGGAAGGCACTAACAATTGTGCCTAATTATGATTGGCCAGAGCAACCGCACAAGAAACAGGAACCTGAAAATTGAACTTGGAGAGGATTATCCTTCTGCAGGGCTGCCAGATGGTGTCTGGAATTACCTTTAGAAAATTACAGATAACCATCCTCCTTTAAGCCCCATGAGAGCTGTGAGCAGGATGACTGTAATGTATCAGCAGAGGCTGTTTCTAACATGTGGCGGCTCCGTTAGCTCTGCTAGCTTTGAGCAGTGGTTTGGTTTGGAGAGAAGGGTGGTCAACAAGCTTCAGTTTCATTGCATTCATAAAAACAATGACTTCCACTCAAAGCCGTTCGGTGGTTTGGCTGCCTATGACACTTCTGGGAACAATGGCTGTTTTCATAAACAAATCAATTAAAGATGCATAAACAGAGGGGATTAGGTTTTCATAAATTACAGTGCATGATACATAAAAATGGCAAGACCGCTTGAGAAACTCCAGAGATGATTTCTTGATGAAAGCTTTGCCCTGCGTTCGGATGACGTTGGGCAGTGACAGGCACCAGAGTGAAGCCAGGATCTGGTTATCCACTGCTGCCATTTATCAGCTCGGACCTAGGCTCACATCTTCCAGAGTTGCAACCTCTTGCATGGAGCTTCAAAATCCCCACGTGTTTTCAGAGGCGGGAGGAAGGAAGAAGTCTCAGTCATCAGTCAGAGGACAAGGGAACTCTTTGAGCATGGGTAGAGCATGTGTTTATATTTACTGTACGTTATGAGGGCTTGGGCACACGCCACCCTGCTGTTTCACTTTGGGCACCGGCGCTTTACTCCACCCAGACCCAATTAAGGAGCACAAAGAGCTGTTTGATTCCCTTTATAAATCCAACATGACAAATAAGCGTATTGTATATTGTTTGATCCCCATGGCTCTGTACAGCACACTGCCGCTGCGCCATTGACGGCTCTGTGTTATGTCTGTTCTGAGAAAGTAATGATTTGTATTGACCATCGCTAACGAAATGTGAATCGCAAGACTTCTGCGAGGTTGGGACGCAGCCAATGCCAGAAGAGCTTGGGCGTTGTGAGAGTTGGAGAGGGGTACTGGGTTTATATGGTGGTTTTGGGGGGAGAGGTTTTAGGCTGAGTTGTTTAACTTAGACAATATTGGAAATGATCCAGCACAGTGGGCCAGGGAGTTAGAAACCATATTGAGCTGGAGAGCTAAGGGTTTTTCATTGCAGGCGTTGTGCAGATGGTGCCCTATAACTCTGGAACATTCAGCGGTTATCAATTACATTCTGTGGTTATCAATTATCCGGTACGCTCTTTTTCAAAACAAAGGCATCCCACGCGTTCAGAGCTCTTTCTTTTTGACAAGTTTCCTGGCAGTAGGTAGCCGAGCACAGAAAACAGAAAAGTGCTACATTAGATTTGTCTATCTCTGTGATGAAAAATGATGTGAGTCAGAGAGAGAGAAGCAGACAGGGAGAAGCAGAGAGAGACAGAGGGAGATCTGAACAACATGTTTACCTCCTGTGGATCCACATCGGCGGGGAAGGCTTCCCTTCTGGAGACGTTCCCGAAGTGAAGAGAGGCACAGAGCAGGAGGGAACAGAAAAACAGACATTTTTTAGAGAAAGAACTTCTTTCATAGAGGAAAGAATATTATTATTGGTTGAGCTAAGAGTTTATTTTCTGCTCTGAACCCTAACGAATATATGTTAGAAGTAGTAAGAAGGAGCATTTCTTCCTTGAGAATATGCCTTTACAACACAAAGATAAAACCACCATTGGATTCTTTATGAAGCGTATCCTGTACAACTTCCTTCAAGCCGTTCTTTTTTTCATTTCTATTGTTTACACACAGGCTTCCTGCTACATGGTTTTCTTTGATCATGCTTCCACACACCGTTGGGTATTTTCTTGCTCGCCAGATGTCTTAAACCAATCCCGATTGATGGGGTGCCCAGGAAATGCATAATTTTCATTTTATCTTGCTTCAAATGTATTCAAACAAAGGTTTTTGTCATTATTGTTCGGTTTAAGGGTGTGGAATTTAGGTTGCCCTCTCTGTTACCAGGAATACATACTTTCATGTATTTTTCATTAGTTTGACACAAAGCCTTTTTTCTGTCTTCACCAATGTTTAATCAGCAAAGACAATAATCTTTTCAATTTTCCAAATTGCCATTTGCCGGGTCTCGTAACGAAGACACGTGAATGGTCAACTTTGACAATGTTGAATGTTTTAAAAAATGTGGCATTTAAACTAACTAAAATGTACACAAATGAGTCATTTGAGTCATCATGTCTCAAGTCCAGTCACAACACAACACAATATCTCTGGCAGGTGCACTAAATAAGTGACCAATTTATTTACTCAAAAAAGTCTGTAAACTTAAAAAAGAAAATAGTTTAGCTGACTGGCTATATATATATATATATATATATATATATATATATATATATATATATATATATATATATATATACTGTACAGTGTATATAGACAATTTTATTCATTGGGGTAAACCCCTTGAGATGCACCATCTCGTTTTCAAGGGGGTCCCGACAATAGCAACAACTTACAGACATTGATAAACAAAAAGACAAAATGCAAAACATGACACACAAGACAAACCACATACAGTCTGTTAAGTAAAATTCAAGCAATGCACACAATCATTACAATTTGAGACAGTCAAGCAAATCAGTTTCATCAATATCAGTTATAACAAGTACAGACCAGTTGAAAGTGAGATAGCAATGCATGTTTAAATAAACCCAATGATGCAAGAGATCTAATAGCAGCAGGTAAAGTATTCCAGTCAGTTGGGGCTTTAAACATGAACGCTCTTCTGCCAATCCATTTTTTTGCAGAGGGGACAGAGAAATAAATCTGAACAGAATGTCTAACTTGATGATTTGACGAGTAGGGTACAAAATACTGCTTTAAATAAGGGGAATAGTTAAAGGTGGGGTAGGTCATTTTGGAGAAACCAGCTCGAGTGCGCTAGAATTTGAAAATACACAGCCGGAACAAATCTGCCACTTCCTTACAGAGCCCCTCCTCCAACACACACGAACGCGCACATGACCAATGAGGGCACGAGATAAGTTTGTGCACAGATGGAAGGCTGACAGGCAGGTAGGCCATCCAGTTACTTTAGCCGGCCCGGCTAAAATGACTGGTCGTGCTTTTTACAGCGCTACGGCTTCCACAGATGACATGTTTTAATGTATTTTTTGTCAAAGCACTTCAGATATTCATTGCTATCTGGATGTTAAGAGCATTCCATGGAATATAACAAAAAGTGTATCTCGAGCCGGTTTCTCAAACTTACCTACCCCACCTTTAAGATAAATGCATTTAAATATCAGCAGCTCAATGCCCAGCTGAGCCCGTTCCCCTTCAGTTCTACCCTTAAGTCTCTCATTAAAATGACAGCCCACTGTATCTCTGCTCCTTCTCTAAGCTTATTTTGTGCCTACATTCCGGAGATCTGGCAACAAGACTGAGTTTTTCCTCTGGGGTCGAGGGTTCCTTCTCTCTAAGGTGACACAAATGTTATAACTTTCTTCTGGAGAGCAGCAGCAGCTCCACAGCTGACAGACAGTGTGGGAAAATAAAGGAACGGGAGCAGGTTTCCTGTGTCTTCTCAGACCTAATAGGAGCTGTCACTGCCAAGCTGCACCTCCTCCAGCTGTGCCACCTCTCAAACTCTATACCCGTCCATCTGCGACGTGCTGTGTGCTCAATTCAAACGCTCCACTTATCAAACTGCAGCCTGTAAAAACACATATCTCACTTCATTTTCTACAAGTAAACGTGGCCACAGCTGACCTTTTCTTCTTCTTTTCTTCTTAAATTGTGGCTTCCTTTCCACGTAAAGTCCTTTCGCAGTCCTTTTTTAGGGCCTTGTTAATGCGTCCAAAGAAACTGCAATGGTTTCCTTCTGTGTTGAATGAATTGGTAGTTTTACTGTGACACCTCACTGGGCAGGGAGACAAAAGGGTTTTCCAACAGAACACATGATGCCTCGTTTTTTACTGCCTAATGGGAAAACTACTATTTAACAATCATTATATGGGGATAACAGAACGATTCCTATGAGAACACAAGGAATTAGGAGTTTGAGAGTTGAGACGAGTTTCCAGTCGTCCGGCTTTAATGAGTCCTGCAGCTGCTGCCGCATGTTGGGATTCCTCACTGCAATGAAGTCAAGGTTTCTCTCCACCAAAGATATCGCTCATCTCTTTGGTATGACTCGTTTTTTTTTAGGATTGCATTACTTGCTAGACTATGAGCTCATGGCGGCGGGAGAGACGATATGTGGTGCGGCTGTTTAATTCATCACTGATGTAACAGATAATAATAACATCGCTCATGCCATCTCTTATTTTCTGATTTGTCTCTTAAAAAGTTTTTTGTTTTTTTTCAGATGGACACCACCTCTGGGAGACTGAGGCCAAGGTAGACAGAGACGTCTCGAAGGCTGTGAGTGATACACATGACACTCTTAACGTGACCAATCCGGTTTAATTTCAGAATTAAAGCAGTTGTTCTCAATTGAATCGATTGGTTTCTGAATCATAACCTACACAACTCCTACTTTGTATGGTCAAATCACTTTAAAGGGGCCCTACTATGCTCATTCTCAGGCTCACATTAGTGTTTTGTTTCTCTACTGTGTTGTGTTTACCTGCTTTAATGTTCAAAAAGCTCTTTATTTTTCTTATACTGCCTGTGCTGCAACACCTCTTTTCACCCTCTGTCTGAAACCAGAGCCCAGTCTGCTTGTCACGATCTGTCTGTGTTGTGTTTTGTCTTGTCTTTTTCTGTCTTTGGTTTCATGTTTTATTTTGAAAAGTGTTCACCCCCTGTCTTGCCAGTTGCTTTCTGTCTGTTTTCCCTCCTGCCTGATTACCCGATTGTGTTCACCTGGTGCTCCTGTGTTTTCTCCTCCCTCCTCACCTGTGTCTTGTTTGTGTGATTAGTCTTGTGTGTATTTAAGTTCTGTTTTTTTTGTCTGTCATTGTTAGTTCCTTGTGTTTGTCTTTGACTGTGTCACAGGGTAGTGTTCTGTTTTTGACGCTTTAGCCTTGGAATAAAGGTATTTTTATTTGAAATCTGCATTTGGGTCCTGCCTGCTTCACTCAACCCTGACAGAAGGAACCAACCAGAAATGGACCCAGCAGATGATCCATTTGAGGTGGAATTACAACATTTTACCTCTTTATTGGCTTGCTGCTATGATTGGTGGAAGGGAGCGTCCAGTGTTCTGCAGAAGGAGGCCGCTCTGGTAAAGGCGCACCGGTTGGCAACAGAGAAACCATGTTTGTTGAAGTTCTTACCTGGCTGGATTATGGACTTCCTCCAGACATGTGATTCTCGGCCTGCTAGCTCCAGGCATGCTAGCTTCCTGCCTCTCAATTCCCAACCTGACACCATACGTCTCGGTGTGTTCCATCTGGAGTCAACCCCTGCTTCTTCCCCATTTCCTGCTCCTGTCCAGGAGCCGTTCTCGGGTACTCGTCTGGCTTTTGGAGGTCCACTGAGCCTCCAAAAGGCTCCTAAGAGAAAGAGTCGCAAGTCCAGGCTAGCAGCCCGAGCCCCAGAAGCCATGCTTTGGGCTCCAGTACAGGCCCCAGCAGCCATGGTACCGTGCTCCAGTGCCAGCCCACACAGCCATGGTACCGTGCTCCAGTACCATCCCACACAGCCATGGTTCCGTGTTACGGTTCCGTGCTCAGCAGCCATGGTTCCTGTTCCAGTACCGGCCCACACAGCCATGGTTCCAGCCCCAGATCTGGTCCCAGTAGCCATGGTTCCAGCCCCAATTCTGGCCCCAGCAGCCATGGTTCCGGCTCCAGAACCGGCCCACAAAGCCATGGATCCGTGCACCAGTACCTGCCCACACAGCCAGGCTCCAGGCTTCTGTTCCGTGCCCAACAGCCATGGTTCCGGCTCCAGAACCGGCCCCAGCAGCCATGGTTCCGGCTTCAGTACCGGCCGCAGTAGCCATGGTCCCGACTCCAGTTTCGGCTCCAGTACTGGCTCTCCGGCCGACGCCAGCTCCCCGTGTCCTGTCGACGTACCGGCCGACTCCAGCACCTCGTCTCCTGTCGGCGTTCCGGCCGACTCCAGCCCCCCGCGTTCTGTCGGTGTACCGACCGTCTCAAGTCCCCTCTCGAGTCTCTTCTCGAGTCCCCTCTCGATTCCCCTCTCAAGTCCCTACCCAATGTCCTGGTCCGTTGGAGGTTCCGCTGGGGGTCCTGCCAACTCCATGTCCTGTCCCGTTGGGGTTCCCGCCGACTACTCTTCTGCCGGGGGTCATGCCAACCCTATGTCCTGTCCCGTTGGGGGTCCAGCCGACTACTCTTCTGCCGGGGGTCCTGCCAACCCTATGTCCTGTGCCATTGGAGGTCCCGTCGACTACTCTTCTGCCTGGGGTCCTGCCAACCCTATGTCCTGTGCCGTTGGAGGTTCCGCTGGGGGTCCTGCCAACTCTATGTCCTGTCCTGTTGGGGGTTCCGCCGACTACTCTTCTGCCGGGGGTCCTGCCAACCCTATGTCCTGTGCCGTTGGAGGCCCCGCCGACTACTGTTCTGCCGCGGGTCCTGCCAACCCTATGTCCTATGCCGTTGGAGGCCCCGCCGACTACTCTTCTGCCGGGGGTCCTGCCAACCCTATGTCCTGTGCCGTTGGAGGCCCCGCCGACTACTCTTCTGCCGGGGGTCCTGCCAATCCTATGTCCTGTGCCGTTGGAGGTCCGGCCAACACCTGTTTCGTCAGGGGTCCTGCCAACCCCATGTCCTGTTCCGTTGGGGGTTCCATTGGAAGTTCTGCCAACTCCGTACCCTGACCTGTTGGGGGTCCCCGCCGACACCTGTCCCGCCGGGGTCTCGCCAACACCTTTCCTGTTGGGGGTCCCGCCGACACGTGCTCTGCCGGGTTTCCTGCCAACACCATGTCCTGTCCTGTTTGGGGTCCCATCGACACCAGCCCTTGCTCCGTCGTGGGTCCCACTGACACCAGCCCATGTTCCGTCCAGGGTCCTGTCTACGCCCGACCTGCCAGGGGTTCCACCAGCTCCTGCCCGTCCTTGTGCCCGGCCCCCTGAGTTCCCCAGCCGCGGTCTTCGCCCTCGAGCCCGGCCCCCTGAGTGCCGCGGTCTTCGCCCTCGAGCCCGGCCCCCTGAGTGCCGCGGTCTTCGCCCTCGAGCCCGGCCCCCTGAGTGCCGCGGTCTTCGCCCTCGAGCCCGGCCCCCTGACTCTTCCAGCCGCTGCCTTCGCCCTCATGCCCGGCCCCCTGAGTTCGCCCGCTGTGACCTTCGCCCCTTTATGAACTCTGCCTTGCCCCCGGGCCGTCTGCCCGAGATCCCTTCCGGGTCCTCTGCTGTGCCCCTGGGCTGTCAGCCCAAACCCCCCCTCCAGACCCCCTCCACCCACCCTTGTGGCCCTAGTTTTGTGTCCCTCCTCCGGTCCCCCTCCACCCACCCTGCTGTAAAAAAAAAACCTCTGTCTGAAACCAGTGCCCAGTCTGCTTGTCACGATCTGTCTGTGTTGTGTTTTGTCTTTTTCTGTCTTTGGTTTCATGTTTTATTTTGAAAAGTGTTCACCCGCTGTCTTGCCTGTTGCTTTCTGTCTGTTTTCCCTCCTACCTGATTACCCGATTGTGTTCACCTGGTGCCCCTGTGTTTTCTCCTCCCTCCTCACCTGTCTTGTTTATGTGATTAGTCTTGTGTGTATTTAAGTTCTGTTTTTTCTGTCTGTCATTGTTAGTTCCTTGTGTTTGTCTTTGACTGTGTCACGGGGTAGTGTTCTGTTTTTGACGCTTCGCCTTGGAATAAAGGTATTTTTCTTTGAAATCTGCATTTGGGTCCTGCCTGCTTCACTCAACCCTGACACTGCTCTGATTGGTTAGCTGGCTGCCTCTGTTGTGATTGGTCAAGTGCTTAGATATGTCCCGCCCCTTAGCCTGCTACGTACAATGTGTTGGAGTGCTATGTAACTCTCTAGTGTTACATAGTGATGTTGCTATGTTGTGGAAGTAAACAAAGGAGTCCAATGGGGGCACTTCAGGCAGGGTGGGAGTGAACAGACCATTTACCTGCACAAAAACATATATAACGTATAATACATACAATAAATTACAATAAACTTTGCTTGAGATTAGAATGTATCACGCCCATATATATATTTATTTATATATATATATATATATAGGCTATTAGGGCTGTCAAACGATTAAACATTTTAATCAGATTAATCACAGCTTAAAAATTTATTAATCATGATTAATCACCATTCGAACTATGTCCAAAATATACAATTTCTTTATGTATATTGTTGTGGGAATGGAAAGATAAATGAAAGAAGGCGGATATATCCATTTAACATACAGTATCAATGTTTATTATAACATTTTTCTGCGTGTCAAAATGAAAGACAGCCCACACACCTATCAATCATCAAACCGTGGGGTCTTAATTCATTACGTGTTGATTTCTATCAACGGGGGAGTACTTCAGGAAAGTCGACGGGGAGGGGCTAGTGGAGTACTTCGTGACCACAAAGTGTGAACGTTGTGATCCAACACACTCTCACTCCATAATCGTCCAGGAGCGACGTTTGGTCAGTGTCCGTGGCGTGCATTTGTGACGCTCCTAGGCTCCTTCAGCGTCATAAAGGGATGCAAATAGCTTTCAACTGATTGCAATGTATTCCCATCTGCGGCGGGATTTGACGCTCATGGAAGCACGGCATTCGTTTGTGTCGGCTGCCCTTAAAGGCAATGTGAGCGTCCATTCTCATTGGATAACGGAGAATTGTACACCTGGAAGTAAGTATTCCCCTTACTGTCGATTGATTTTACAGTGATATCTGCACTACTCATCGACTAAAAAACACCAGATTATCCTTGTTAATTACACAACATTGATTGGTTTAAATTGTGTGCAATGCTTTTGTATTTTTCCCCTTCGATTCGGAGAAACAAATATTTTTTTCGGAGTAAAGGATGGCAGAAGACACTACACTACCCAGAATCCCCAGCTATCGTTTGGACTACACCATGTGCTCTGTTTGACAAACCCTGTGATAGTCCTCAAGCTCTGTGATTGGAGAGTGTGCTCCGAGGGTTACGCCGAACCTCGAACAGCACTTGAAATGGGATGGAACCACGGCAGACTGTCCAAAACTGGATTTGAACGGGTCCACCGCGTCCCCCCCTCCCCCACCCCGTCCCCAGAACTACACATGCTGGCTATTGTGTTTCGCAACATGTTCTCTATCTATGGCACGTCTCTACTGGGAGTTGTAGTTTTAAAAGACGTTTTCGTATTTCCCATAATAAGAAGTTGCCAGTATTAAACTGTGTACATCCCTGGAGGTTTAGAGGATAGGAAACACTCAAATTTAAAACATATAATTAATAAATGGGTGAAAATTGCTTGTGCCCATCATGGGCAGCATTAATATATACCCACATGCCAGCTAAGGTCAGAAGAGCTTTATTTAACAGCTGGTCTTATGTTTGTGACCCCTGTTGTTAATTGATAACATTACATTACATTAATTGATAACCCTGAAACATGCACTTGTTAAGGTACAGAGGCAAATTTTGCAAATATGGCAGTAGCCATCAATCAGCTTCAGATAAGATATACTTTATTGATCCCAAGTTGGAACATTTGCGTTACATCAGCATGTGTAACGGTTGTAAATATGCAGTGGTGTTTATTTGTAAATCATTTAGTATAATCACACAAATTCTGTGTTTTATATTTAACAATTCTGTGTTCTTTATTTATTGATTGTTCAATACCTGACAAGGCCGGAGATGAAATATCTACATATATCTTATAAGAGTATAATACATTATGTATACTATCAGTTAAAATAAGTGCTTCAACATAGTTAACATTGCTGGAGGTATGCACAAATATTGATAGATGTCTTGTAATGCACTATTGAGGAACCTGCGACCCAAGTTTTTCATTCAATGCATAACTACACCATAGTTGTGTAGGCCTATATGATATGTCAATAAACCTTAGAAAATCTTGAAATCTTGAAAGGGATGTGCAAAATAGTCATTATATACAATCTTTAATTAACTACTAGTAGAGAATAACGAGTAATGAATATACTTTATAGGGATCCTATTAATATCTAATAATAAAAATAATGAAATTCAATAACATGCTTTAACCACTAGGTGTCCCTTTATATCAGCTGTGCACCTTTATGGTGTAAATATAGCCTATCTACCAATTGGATCAAATATAAAAGTCAGCCGAATTAGTGTTAATACTGCAAGGAGACGTATTGTGGGAAAATAAACGTAAGATGTTGTTTAATGGCTGATATATTTATGATCCACGTCACGTTTTCAGTTCCTCATGTTTGTCTAGAAGTCTTCTCATCAGGGCTCTATAAATACAGAACTACAGCAGATATGTAATATTTAATGCAGCCGAACCGTGTATTACATTGCCGTTATGTGATGACTTTCAAAGAGAAAAGCAAGCACACTCGGAATAAAGTATTATTTTTTTTTTTTTAAATGTTTTCGGTCTGTTTCCGGTATTTGTTAATGACGATGTGCTGTGAGATGTGAGACTGGAATTGCACAGGGGAAAATAACGTAGGCTATCTTTAGATGCGGATTTTGTTCAACTAATATGTTTGCGCTGTGGACCAACACTATACGTTGACGGGGAAGGGGGTAGCAATAAAGATAACACCATTAAACAGTTACACAACATAACAGAAATAATATCGATAGCAGCGTCCCTAGCAACCACCTTGGTAACAATGAAAACGTTCTATGGACGCAATTTCCTGAAGTAATCTTCGTAATAACTAGCAAACTAAAGATCATGTACATCCACTGCACACATAATCTGAAATAACAACTCATATTTCTCGCAACAAATGACTTCAAAACGCATTTTAATGGCCAAACTAACTTTAAAATAGGCATTTTCCACCGAGAATAAAACGAAGTTCGGCCATGTTTTTTTTTCTGCAGGGAGAAATTTGAAGACGCCAGCCATTGGAATGAATGGTGAAAAAAAACGGGGTTTGTCAAACAGAGCACATGGTGTAGTCCAAACGATAGCTGGGGATTCTGGGTAGTGTAGTGCCATCCTTTACTCCGAAAAAATATTTGTTTCTCCGAATCGAAGGGGAAAAATACAAAAGCATTGCACACAATTTAAACCAATCAATGTTGTGTAATTAACAAGGATAATCTGGTGTTTTTTAGTCGATGAGTAGTGCAGATATCACTGTAAAATCAATCGACAGTAAGGGGAATACTTACTTCCGCGTGTACAATTCTCCGTTATCCAATGAGAATGGACGCTCACATTGCCTTTAAGGGCAGCCGACACAAACGAATGCCGTGCTTCCATGAGCGTCAAATCCCGCCGTAGATGGGAATAAATTGCAATCAGTTGAAAGCTATTTGCGTCCCTTTATGAAGCTGAAGGAGCCTAGGAGCGTCACAACTGCACGCCAAGGACACTGACCAAACGTCGCTCCTGGACGATTATGGAGTGAGAGTGTGTTGTGTGATCAGCTGTTTTAGCGCAGTTCTCCAGTGAAGGGGGGGGGGGAGTCTCCCTCCGCAGCCGGTTGGCGTAGTTTTGGCACAATTCCGTTGTACAGACCGACGTTAACAGCAGCCCTGTCTGTGCACACGGAGACCGACTCTGTCGTCCGGTGATCTAACCGCCTTCTGGAAAAGCTTCACAAGTAGGTAGGTATGCAAATGCGCTTTGTGACACAAGTGACGGTACGCCTTTCAGATTACGCACATAACTTGCGTACCAGTTGTGTGCACCCCTGTACTACAGAAAAGGTATTCTCCGTCCTGCAACAACACCACGCCGTTATCTTGATTCTGATTGGCCAGAAGACATTATCAAAGATGTTCTATTGAGAAGACGATCACTACGTGACAAAAGTTTTCAAAACCGTTTCTGGTCTTCGGTATTTCCAGACAAGTGGCTACTGAAATCAATCTTACTAACTGCTGTCTGTGCAATTTACTCCGCGCGAGTTGGCAGACTTTATTTTGCTTAGTTTAACATCATTTTTCATGGTGGGGCTAAGCCATTTCTTGGTATGGGTGTAGCCTACCCCAGCCATACCCTGGCGCTGCCACTGGCGGGCTATTCTGCACATGCGTTAAATGCGTTAAATATTTTTAACGCAATTAATAAAAATAAAAAATTACCGCCGTTAACGCGATAATTTTGACGGCATTAATATATATATAATATATATATATATATATATATACATACATCATGCACTCCACTAGGCTGATAAGGTCCATGATGGCAGTGTGGTTGTTTAACATCGCACCATCATGATGTTTTACACATTTAATAGTTGTAAATCATGCTTAGGGCTGATATGAGCATGGGATAGCATTAAGGACACACGCACAAAAGTGTAACTGGAATGTGACTGTAGATGTTCTCAGCCTCAAGGGGGAACAGCAGTGTTGTGTTTTTTAAAAGTGTTGAAAGGTTCTCAAAAGTTCACCCTTCATCCTGTGGGAGTTTGTGCTGGGCAGTGTGTCATGTCTTGGACTGAGAGAAAGAGGGAGAGAAAGATAGAGGGATGTAGTGGTGTGTGTTTGGGAGATAGAGGAGGGGATACGAGGGTGTCTCTGTGTGAGGCGCTGCACCTGCTCTGTGTCTTCCATTACACACACATTCTCTCTCTCTTTCACACACACACACACGTATATGGAGCTGATGAACATGGTTGCTCCTGGCCTTCGCTCTCCCTCAGACAGCAGGAAGCTTTGCTTGGGAAATTAACTGTCTGGACAATCCCCACTTTAATGTATTCATTGTGCAAATAACCATGGCTCTCCATAACCTCAGTTCATGGTCTCTCTGTGGCTCCCTGGTTTGGGATTAGAACCAGATTTTCTGATTTTATCCACAGCCTCCATTTTACACAACCTCAGGCTTCGGGTTTAAACGAAAGAAGTACAGTCCCAACCTCACATCTACAGAATAAATATGATGGCTACTATTATTTCTTTACTCATGCTTAGCAGCAAATAGTCAACTGTTTGAATACAATAATTCAATTCAAACAAAACTAAAACCCAATTGTGTTTCTCCCTTTTAAACCACAGAACATTAACTGTAATTCAATTTATGAATGTTTTAATATATAATACAAAATACATTTGTTTTATTAAGTTAAAAAGGCCTTATCTCTCTATCAGGTAACAAATTAAGTGATTGAGCAGCACAAGAGACATACAGGCAGAGACACAAAAAGAGTTAAAAAAAAGATCAAGGGAACTAGAACACTAACAAAGATGAAAAACAGTAAGATAAAAAACAACTAATCAAATAAAAAGGCTTCACGCAATGGACATTAACCTCTGCATTGTCTCTTTGTTACAAACAATATGAATTACTTTATTTTACTTTGTTGCAGAATTCGCTACACATTGAAGTCCCTCCCTATCGGAACCAAAGACTCTCCACTCCGGTCCACGTCAACTTCTACGTCTGTAATGGCAAGAGGAAAAGAAGCCAGTACCAGCGCTTCACCTACGTCCCCGCCAATGGTACGCTCTCCTCCCCATATATATTTACTGCTGATTAAAGTGAAAAAATACAACTTTGCAACATTTCCTTAGCGAGGCTATGTTTTACTCAGAGCTGCCAACAAAACATTACACTTAACTTTTGCATACCAGAGACCTTAGTACACATTTTCTGTCTTAAGATTTTTGTTAGCAACAAGGCTGCTAGCAGCTAACGCTAATGTCCAAAGCAAGACACCAACTGAAACTGTGATGTCAGTGCTATAATGAAGGCAGAATAAACACTTTTATGAATCATTAAGTAGGCAGGTTTGTGCTTTAATGATCTAGCTTATTAGATAAAAACGTTTTGAATCACTCCCCCTCTTCATCTTTTATCCTCTGTCAACGGGGCTCTTTTGGCGGGTATAGTTCAAACAGTTAACGTTACTCTACTTTTTCGATGCCTGGGGTTAGCTACTGTAAGGTGTTTTATTAAGTTGTAAGCTTTTTGATGAGTAGCCTCTTAGCAAAATGCTCCCAGGTATGCAGTGATGCCATGTAAGCGTCTTTGGGTTCAAGAAAAGCGCTATAGAAATATAATTTATTATTATTATGTATGTGTCTAGGGCTTTCATTGTGAAAGGGAGATCCGGACATGGAAGGAGACAGAATTGCATTGTAAAGAGAGGCTTACACTGATGTCATTATTCTATAGCCATTGCCTTGTGCAATCAACATTTTCTTCATAATGATGGAGCAAATTTGTTTTAGCTATTGCCACTTTAACTACAAATAATTCTATAGTCTTCTAGCAAATGTTGAATATCATGTTCATTTTGAGTCAAAGCATGAAGCTGCTTCTCTTGTCTAACTTACTTTTTGATGAAATTGCACAATACAATAATAATAATAATAATAATACATTACATTTATAAAGCGCTTTTCCTGGTGCTCAAATCGCTTACAAGCAAGTAAAACAAAAATAACAACAAAAGTAGAAAGTGTTAGGAGGAATAAGGGCAATGGGTTAGTTGATTAGGAGTTGAAGGCAAGAGTGAAAAGGTGAGTTTTGAGGGATTGTTTGAATGATGTGAGAGTGTTGGCGGATCTGACGTGGCTGGGGAGGGGGCTCCAGAGTGTGGGGGAGGCTGCTGCGAAGGCCCTGTCACCCCAGGTCCGAAGCTTTGTCCGGATGGGCTGCAGTAGGTTGATGGGTGGGGGTGTGTCGTTGGATGAGGTCACAGAGGTAGGGGGGGGGGGGCAAGGTTGTTGAGGGCTTTGAAAGTGAAAAGTAATATTTTAAAGGCAATGAGGTGTTTGATGGGGAGCCAGTGGAGGTCATGGAGGATAGGGGTGATGTGGTCGGAGCATCGGGTGGAGGTGAGCAAGCGGGCAGCTGAGTTTTTGACATATTGAAGTTTTTTTAGTGTGAATGCAGGTGATCCAAAAAGTATGCTGTTGCAGTAATCCAGTCGGGATGTTATAAAGGCATGGATCAGAGTTTCAGCAGCGGTTGATGAGAGGGAGGGTCTAATGCGGGCGATGTTCTTTAAATGGAAGAAAGCGTTTTTTGTGACCTGGTTGACGTGAGGGAGGAAAGTGAGGGTGGGGTCGAGGATGATGCCAAGGTTACGGATGTGAGTGGAGGGGTTGACAATGGAGCCATCGATGGCAAGAGAAAAATCTTGGGTTGAGCGGGTAAGTGAGTTTGGGCCAATGATTATAAGTTCCGATTTGTCCCAGTTAAGTTTTAGAAAATTGTTTTGCATCCAAATTGTAATGTCAGTGAGGCAGGTGCTGAGCTGGGAGTGTGTGGTTGGAGAAATTGATTCTGTTGAGAGGTAGAGCTGTGTGTCATCAGCATAACAGTGGAACTGGAGTTGGTGTTGACGGAGGACAAACACCTTTTTGAGCTGCCCCTCTATGGGACGTCCCAACTTGGGAAAGATTGTATTGTGATAGTCAGCCAATCCATAGCAGCCATAGCCTCTTTCAGTAAGGTTAAGAATTGTGCTAAAATCTGGTAAAAACGAAAAACCAGTGTACTTCATGAACATTAAATTGCCGTACAAATGTGTGCCCAGAATAAGAGGGAACCCCCTCATTAACTCTAAGCCTTCAGCACATTGTCACTTATTCTTTTACTTCACCACTCTCCGTCTGCTCTTCGCATTTCGTATCCCAGACTAATTAGAAACATTTCAGCCAGCATTTTACATCTAAAGTCGAGAACAAACTGTTTGTATTCCCCCGTCTTGTGGTTTGCTAGGGAGGAACAAAGCAACGCTATTATTCCTTCATTGTAAAAAATTAAAATCTATAAAATCTGTTCTTTTCCGTACCTGTACACTGCAGCGAGTGAACTTACGAGGGCGGGAAGAGAGGCCTGGGAAACGTGTGTTATTTGAATAGAGAACCTGTTGCCAAGCTAAATATAAACACTGACCCACCAACTGAAATGTAAAAACCACTTGCTAATTACGCTCCGGGACTTGGAGAGAAAATTCAGTGGGTGGTTCAAAGCTGTGATTCAAGTGGACTGGCCCAGCCCTGCGCGGGGGCGACGGAGTGCCCCGCTGTGAAAGTGGACCATTGTCCTCAGGATGCAGAGAGTGTGAGGGAGGGGGGAGACAAGGGACGGTAGTCTGGTCAGTGTCTCCTAAAGGGTGAGTCAGTACAGAGAGACATCCACATGAACTCTGTCTTCAGAAAGTCACCAAGAAAACGACAGTGTTATATTAAGTTTTGGAAATTAAATAAGTAATATACTTGGAAAAAATGTAATTTAAAAAAAGAAAATAATGCAAATATGAACTCATTAAAAATATAAATAAAAATTAATAAAAAATGATTCAATAAATTGACTTTTTATCTTTTGACTTTAATCTTTGCAATATAATTTGGAGTGAAATATTACAACACATATTTAGAAGTTATATAATAATAATATATATGATATATATAATAGTATTTAGTGACTTATAAATCATTATATAACTGTGTTACAGGATAAGATACCCAGCAGTATTTACTATAATAGAAATGAGCTCCACCTCTACCAGCTGCAACATTAAATGTAATATTAGGTATATAAAAAGTAATTACTTTTGAAAATTCACTATGATAAAAAGATTTAAAAAAGCAATTCACCATAATGAGTACTCAGAGGTGGAAGAAGTATTCGAGTGTAAGAATACTCTGTTACAAGTTCTGCATTTTACGCAGTAAAAGTATTAGCATCAAAATATACTTAAAGTGAGCACTTTTAATTGCCTTGTGTTGAAAAGTGCTATATAAATAAACTTGCCTTGCCTTGCCTAAAGTAGCAACAGTAAAAGTAGTCATTGTGCAGATTGGTCCATTTCAGAATAATATATATGATGTGTTTTATAATGATTGATCATGAAAGTGTTCTCAGAGCTGGTAAAGGTGCAGCTAGTTTGAATGACTTTGTATACTGCAGGGTAGCTTGTGGATTTACTCCAGGTGGAACTACAGTCTGATTTAAGACTTGGTTATATTTCACATCATTCATCCACATCTGTGAAGTAACTAAAGGTATTAAATACATGTAGTGGAGTGAAAGTACACCATGTACCTCTGAATTGTAGTGGAGTAGAAGTACAAAGTATCATTAAATGGAATAACTCAAGTACAGTACAAGTACTACCAAAATTGTAGTACATAACTTGAGTAAATGTACTTAGTTACTTTACACCTATGTGAGTACTTTAGATGTTACATACTCTTTTTGTATGGTGATACTTCTGTACTATGATAGTATAAATATATACTCTGTTACAGTTGTAGTAAAACAGTACTGCTACACTTTGTCTACATCTCAATATGTTGTATAACCACTGGTGAAAGAAACACAGGTGGAACAAAAATCTATCTATTTTGCAATAATGAAATGTAAATGTATTTCACTGTTCCTGTTTTTCAAATCACATCACTTTCTTGCCGCAGCAGGTGTTACAACACAGCTCGCAGAAAAACAGCAGATTTATTTTGGGACATACACACACGGCTGATTTCCACACTCCGGAAACCCAGGGCCACGCTGCTTTTTGTGGCTACACAAACGTTTGCACTTCTTCTGTGCCCTTTCTGTGCATCTGCCCCCCCTCCACAGACACACTTCCTCCAAACAGCCAGGAATAGGGGTGCATGTGCTATTTTGGGACTGCGGTCTGCGTAGCCATCTCATCGCAGTTCAGAGGCTTCAGAGAGGCATCACATGTCTTAGTTTCACTCCTTTGAGTCTATTCATCCACTTATTCTGTAGGGTTAAAAATAACTTCTTCAAGAGACTTCCCTAGGCAAGCAAAGAGATGCAGATAAACAACAAACAATTAACAAAGTGTTTCAGTAAAATACAAGAAAATCGTTTTTTGTTACAGTTGCTCCATTTTAAATGAGAAAAAGACATGTAAAAAATCTAACAATTATATGTATTTACCTAAGCAGTGACAGTAAGAATATGCAATAAAATAAAGATATTTAAATAAACAAAATATTTTAAAGTAAAATGTCCCAAAAAAGAAAAAGAAATATATATATATTTAAACCTAAAAATAACCTGCATCTGGGTCCTTCGCATGGGACCATTTGTCGCATGTCACCCCCTCTGTCTCCCCCTTTGAACACTATCACCTCAATAATGTCACTGGTTGCCAAGGACACCATGCACTTCTTGAAAACTGTAATACCATTTTACAGTGGTGTATTAGTATTAATACAAAAACAAATCCTGCATTGCACTGTTTAAAAGGGTTTTGGCTGCTGATGGAGAACTGAGCACATGCTTCCTATTATAATCTAAACCAGCGTCACCACAAAAGAGAAGAAGAAACTGATCCAGTGATGTGATGAAGCTCAGAGTCAGATTGGTGCTGTCGCTGTCTTGTAACTGGACTAAAACGCTTGTTATATAAGATTAATGTTGTGTCAGATCTGCTGCAGACACATTTTACCACATTTTAAAACTTGGTGTCCAACATGTGTCTTCTGGAATCTGGACAGGAGGCCAAGTCGCTGGTGACTAATAACAGCCCGCCTCATTTCAACTCCACTATCCTCACACACCCTGGAGTTTCCATCTTGTCTTTTACATCTTTGGTTAAGGAAAGCATGTGGATGTTAGCACCAGTGCAGGATCCAAAGAAAATAGGCATTTTATTATAGAAGCAGCTGGATGCTTCTGGTGTTGATGACTCATCCCTTTTTTCCTGCTTTTTGTGAATTTTTTCAGCGTAGTGGGAGAGCTGGGGCGCAGACACAGAGTCTCATTGATGCGAGTGTTTGTTTGGCAGCGTGTGTATCCTAGCCACAAACCCACTCTCTCGCTCACACACGGCTGGAATATGTTTACTCATTTAGCTTCTCCTTCTTCTTCTCTCAGTTCCAACGATAAAGACGGAGCCGCACGACGACTACGACGGCCCTCTGGTGCATCAAAAGCCATATTTCCCCTCACAGGTCATGACCCCCATGGTGACCTCTGACCTCAGGCCATGCGTGGTGGGCGGGGCTTACTCTGTCAGCCAGCAAAGATTGGCAGCCAAGCCCTCGTCCCTGCCTCCCTCCGCCTCCCCGGGCCCCAAACTGCACGACCTGTCGCCCCCGCCCTTCTCCAAGTGCCTCCCTGGGGGTCCAGCTCTCCAGCCCCCGGGCCAACAGTCCCCTGTCCCCCACGTCTCCATCATCCAGGAGACCCCCGGGCGCTACCAGCCCCCCATCCTCTACCCTCCCAGCAGTTGCTCCTCCTCCTCCTCCTCCTCCTCCCCCCCCCACCTCGCAGGCCTCCACCCCGACTGACGGCCCTTTCTCTCCGGCCCTGTGCTTGACCCCCGTCCCCCAGCCGGGGAGTGGCAACACCAGCCCGGCAGCGCAGCAGCACCCCAAGGTGCCACAGAGGGGGCGGGGCTCGCTGCAGGAGGACGGCAGCCCCCCCCCGCTGGCTGTCAGCATCAAACAGGAACCGCAGGAGCTGGACCAGATGTACCTCGATGATGGTCAGTGAAATTATTTTTGATCAATAAACAAATGTAAGCCTTAGTTTCTAACACGGTGCTCAAAATTATAAATCAAACTACCCACTTATTAAATAAACAAGACTGTTTTATGGCCTCCAGCACAAATTGATCATAATATAAGTGCTGAGATATTTGATCAATATCATGCAGTATGACTCACAAATCACTTTGCAGGGAGTTGAAACTTAGATCCACATTTGGGATACTCCTACTATCTTTATGGTTGATGGTTGATTACATGAGAACATTGATTCTATAGCTGGTTAGCATAGCTTAGCATAAACAGGGAAAACAGCTCCTGGCTCAATCTCAAGGTAAGAACATCCCCCTAATCAATCAACCAATCAATGTTTATTTATATAGCCCAATATCACAAATGTTACATTTGTCTCAGTGGACTTCACAGTTTGTACAGAATATCAGTATGACAATACGACACCCTCTGTCCTTAGACCCTCACATCGTACAAGGAAAAACTTCCAGAGAAAACCCCACAGTTTAAAGGGGAACATGGGAGAAACCTCAGGGAGAGCAACAGAGGAGGGATCCCTCTCCCAGGACGGACAGACGTGAAATAGATGCCGTATGTAAATCGAAAAGATAATACATTTACAACATAGGTAGACCGAATGTTTGGAAATGCATGTGTCTGTAATAAGAAGATGAATCCACGAGGATGTCAGCAATCTTGTGGGAGCCATCAGTGAAGTAGTATGGTGAGAGTCTGGCAGGACCGCAGAGACAGGTTCAGCCACGACTCGAAGTCCAGGACTCAGATCCAGTGCTCAGGATAGAGGATCCAGGACACACGACCACAGCAACATGATTAGCCTCGACTCAGGATCCCGGCGTATATATGGACACAAAAAAGAGATTTGGGGGAAACTGGGTTAATCGGAACATGAGAGTACACAGGTACAAACAGCCAAAAAGACGGAGTAAGGTGCCCCCCCCAATAGTCCAAGCATAGCAGCTAAACTAACGTGTCTACATACATGCACTCCCTTAGGATAGGTTGAGGGAAAAGGGTAGCAAGTAAGAAGTAGGAAACAGAGGTGGAGAGGCACACACAGGGAAAAAGGTCCCCATTGGAACCTGAATTTGTCAGAGGTAGAAGTGGGTCAGTGACTACATTCCACACTCCCCGGCCGGGCTAGGCGTTCTCTGCAAAGTTTTAAATATAAGATCTAAGTTTTTAGGATTTAAGTGAAAGAGTAAGAAATACTCAAATGTATAGGTGAAGAGGCACAACGTATCTACGTCAATGCACTCTTATTAGATTATTTTTATTTTATCACTATAAGCTTCATCAAAAAGGAAGGTCTTAAGCGTACTCTTAAAAACGGATAGGCTGTCTGCTGCCCGAACACAAACTGGACGCTGATTCCACAAATGTGGAGCTTGATAAGAAAAGGCTCTGGCTCCCATTGTACTTTTAGAGACTCTAGGAACAACCAACAACCCTGCATTCTTGGAACGCAATGCCCTAGTAGGACAGTAGGGTATAATGAGTTCTTTAAGGTAAGATGGCGCCTGCCCATTAAGGCCCTGCCCCTGTCACACTGTCCCGAAATTGACACCCGATGGACACACGAATATGGAATTGTGAATTTCGCACGATGATGGCCCCGAACCACACACGAAGGCAACATTTACATTACATTTAAGACATACAACTGCAATGAAAGTACCAAAAACAATTATGTTACAGTACTATGATACTGTACTGATATCTTCAGACTTTGTTCTTTACTTTATCCGTCGTTATATGTCGAAAATATTACGTTTTCTCCGTAATGTTGTTTCCATAACAACAACAACTTCCTGTCAACTGTCCTTCAAAATAATATATTATATCCTTTTTAGTTTCACAGAACACAAATTGGGTTATTTACATAATATATTTACATGATTTTGTTGTGCAATAAAACAACCGATGGACACACAATAAAGGAAATGTTCAAATTCGGCTGTGATCGTAGCAACATCGGGCCATACGTGAGGGCATCTTAAGCCATCGTATGACCGCCGGTGGAGTTTCTCAGGCTCCGGCAGCAACTTCGTGAGCGGTGGCAAAATCTTTGGCATGCCTTAAAATTGCCGAAGGACCTTGCGAAGGTTCATTTTCGTGTTGAATTCGTGTGTCAATTGTGCCCTTCGTAAGGCCATCGTGATGGCATCTTGTTATCATCGGTGCCATCGGGCATTCGCCCCGATCAGAGTGAGGGTGAATGCACCGATGATAACACGAAGATGACACGATTTGACAAGATGCCCTCACGAGTGCCTTACGAGCCGAATTTGAACATTTCCTTTTATCGTGTGTCCATCGGGTGTCAATTTCGGGACAGTGTGACAGGGCCTTTAAGGGCTTTGTAGGCGAGAAGAAGAATTTTCAATTATATCCTGTGTTCTATAGGGAGCCAGTGTAAGGCAGCCAGAACAGGAGTAATGTGGTCCCTTTTCCTAACTCTGGTTAGTACACGAGCTGCAGCATTTTGAATCAGCTGAAGCGACTTGACTGACTTCTTGGTACACCCTGATAATAAGGAGTTACAATAATCCAGCCTTGAAATGCATGGACAAATGCATGGACTAGTTTCTCTGCATCGTTTTGAGGTAAGATATGCCAAATTTTGGCAATGTTGCGTAGATGGAAGTAGGGGGTCCTTGAGATTGATTTTATGTGGGCGTTAAGGGACGGGTGGCGCAGTGGTCTGTGCATCCGATCATCAGATCAAGGGGGAGTGCTGGGGAACTCCAGTTCGAAACCCGCTCCTGCCGCCACTGCGTCAGGCCGTTGTGTCCTTGGGCAAGACACTTCACCCGGATTTGCTCCTGTGGGTAATGTCCACAGTACATGTATAATACTAATGTGTACCTGTAAAAGCGCCTCGATGACCTCGAGGCGTGAAGATGGACGGTGTGGCGCAGTGCGCTGTGCAATGATCATCAGATCAAGGGGTGAAACCCGCCGCTGCTGCGTCTGTAAAGCCGGTGTGTCCTTGGGCAAGACACTTCACCTGAACTTGCTCCTGTGGGTATTGTCCACAGTATCTGACCATTGCATGTATCATATATGTGTAATATGTGTGTATATGTAAAGCGCTTTGAGTCATTGATAAAGCGCTATAATAAATGTAAGGAATTATTATTAATTATTGTTAAAGGATAAATCCTGATCAAATATAACACCAAGGTTCCTTACAGTCTCACTGGAGGCCAAATTAATGCCATCCATAACTAGTATATCTTTAGATAGTTTGTCTCGTAGATTCTTCGGGCCGAGTACAATAACTTCAGTTTTGGTCGTGTTTAACATCAAAAAATGTAAGGTCATCCACGTTTTTAAGTCCTTGAGGCAGTCTTGAATTTTATTTAGGTGATTGGTTTCATCAGGCTTGATGGATAAATATAGTATCATCCGCATAACAGTGGAAATTTACAGAATGATTCCTTGTAATATTGCCTAGCGGAAGCATATATAGTGTGAACAAAATAGGTCCAAGCACTGAGCCCTGTGGCACTCCATGGCTAACTTTGGTTTGCATGGAAGATTCATCGTTGACACCCTAATAACACCTCTAAAGCTCACAGATCAACACATTAGTGGTTAACCCGTACAGTCTTATAAAGGGTACGAAAAACAGTATGGGTTTTCAGCAGGGTATCTAACGTTTAGCAAAAATTAAAGATAAATATTTACACGAAATATACAAGGTACAGTACAGTATAAGTACAGTTAAACATAAAATACTGGGATGAATAAAATATATGCTGTAATGGCATTCATAGTGGAGAAAAAGTGTTACTTAGACAGAGTTAGGGTTTATGATATTAACTTGAACAAGATTTGCTCAGATGATGTGCAGTAATATAATGCATAGTGTCTATATGGAGGGGGTAAGTGGGGTTCCTAGACAGGTAGCAGATTGTAAGAAACACCATTTCAACTCATTTGACCTGAGAAGGCGGATTACAGGAGATGATAATGCCGTTTTATGGAAACAGAATTCAGCCAAGATCTAGTTATACTCTTCAGTCAGTGTTTCTGTTGGATAGCACGCTCACTTGTCTTTATTGTGAAACCATGATAGTATTGTTTGTGTCAGTTACAGGCCACTGTGGGAGGAGTAGATTTATGTGAAAGTGAAACTGTACCAAAAGGTTTATCACTGCTGTTGGGAGTCTTGAATTATATTTCTTTACGAATTCTATATCTTTTGTGGTAATACTTTCCCCTTAGAGCTTTCTTCGTCTGTATTTCTGAGGTTACTGCATGAAAGGAACCTGGTGGTCTAGCGTTTGATATATCTGGCTTCAGACCCTGCAATGAGACAAGCCTGCCTGAAGCTCCCTGATCATGAATTCGGTTTTTTGTGAGCCCCTATTCATCTCACAGAACCAACATTATGATCTCACTGCTCTGGCCCTCTCTCTCACCGCTGAGGTTCTGCGCTGAAATAAATTGGATAAATGATCTTCCTCAGGGTAAGAAGAAACAGTCCTTGGCTGTGTGTCCTGTAGAGAAAAGGGGTGCAGTAGATGAAGCAACCCTAACCAGCAGCTATCAGCGGAGGAGCAGGGGGGCGTCACCAGAGTCTGGCCCGGCTTCCTGGGGACGGAGAGTGAGTTGTTGGACTGCAGACTGTTCCCATGCCACTTCCTGTGAACAGTCTGGGTAAATACATTAGCACTTGTTAGCCCCGTCTGCGGGGGGATTTGGCTGGCTCGAGCCACAGATTTGATTATATCCTAACCGGTGCTCACGGCTATTCAGGGGTTTATTGGTTAAACCAGGTGTATTTCAAGTAAATACATCTCTTAGGAACGTGTTCCACAAAAGTTGGATACATGGTTCCTCTTGGCTCCTTCAGCTCCTTAGAATCTCGCAAATTTGAGGAAAGAAACAAAGGCCTTGAACGTTTTGGAACAAAGTCATAAATAGGCTATTAAAAAAAACCTTGAAATTAAGTTTT